CCAAAAAAACAAAAAATCAGACTTACAGCAACTTCCTTCTTGGTTGGATGAACCTGAGGCTTTCTCTTCGCAGGACTATCTGTTTCTGTCTATTTTGTCCACTCAGGGTGTCAATTAGTTTCCTCTCCAGCAGGGCCCACCAGATCTGGCTAATGGTGTGAATTAGCAGAACAACTCCCCACCTCGCCACGAGGCCTGACAGCCTTGGGCTGTGACTCAGACTTACAGCAACTTCCTTCTTGGTTGGATGAACCTGAGGCTTTCTCTTCGCAGGACTATCTGTTTCTGTCTATTTTGTCCACTCAGGGTGTCAATTAGTTTCCTCTCCAGCAGGGCCCACCAGATCTGGCTAATGGTGTGAATTAGCAGAACAACTCCCCACCTCGCCACGAGGCCTGACAGCCTTGGGCTGTGACACAGCAGCCTCACCGCTTGGTGAGACCCCCTGCCAGCACAGAGCCTGCAGCCGAACACCATGTACCCAACAAGCCCGAACGAGGAAAGAAACTCACTGTAGGATCTTATGAGGGTTTCGAATGTCTTGGAAAATAATTGCCACTAGAAGGGCCAGGCACAAAGGCCGCTGTGCCTTTTAAGTACATTTAATTTGTCATCACAAACGATACGGAATGGCGGTTTGTGGTGAGAAATGAGCGTGCGAGAAAAGGCTGTAGCTCAGGGATGGGGAAGGACTTTGCTGAGCTCTGCTCCCTGCAGGTGCTGCGATGAGAGCCACTTTCCAATCGTTAGTCCAGATCCCCATCAGGTCTGGATGCCAGAGGCACAGCTCCGAGGCAGGAGGAAAGGGAGATGCAACGCTCAGAACAAAGGTGTATGGGAGAAGCTCCCTTGGGCCAACCAGCAGGATGGGGACGAGGGTCTGTAGGACCGTATGGGGAAGGTGCAGCAAGGATCAGGACCCCACTATGCTGGGCTTAGAAGAAAAAAGATAGCCAAAAGTAGGTCAACAGGCTGACAAATATAGGTCACGGGGGTTTTTTCTGTTTGCTTGTTTGTGGTTTTTTTCTGCAGCTAGATGATGGAGGTATGTCTTCACTGAGAGGCAAAGTGGAGGGTAAGCAGGCTAAGCCCCATGACAGACATTCACATAACAGGCTGGCAGCTCTGCAGTAGCACGGTCTGCACCTCTCCACGCTGTACTTAGCAAAATCACGGAGCTTGCCAATGGAAGAGTATCCCCACTTAACCCTTCTTGCACCTGGGTTATCCAGGTGCATTGAGAGTTTGGGTGTGCGCTGAGGCTCATCCCCTCGGACATATCTGGAGTTCAGATTAACCCTCCTAACACCGGGCACTTAGGAACAAACCCTGGAGGTGGTGGAGTAAGTCTGGACTTGGCCTGCACTGCCCTGGCAAGGTAGAAGAGCCCTTAGTGCCTCATTGCACAGGTGGAATAGCTCACCTCGTACCACCAATGTCTGCAGAACGAGGCCGCAGCAGGTTGCTCCAGCTCCCTGATGACAGACCTGTGATTTAACTCTGATCTCTCTTTAGTCCCGAACCAGGGCCTTCACCTCATCCTCAGGAGGCCTGGGCCTTTCTCTGGTCTCTAACATGCACGTCTGTGCTCCCTTTTCCTTCTCTGAGTGGGAATGTCTCAACATTCCCTCAACAACAGAGAGGTGTCGTGAAGATTAATTAGCTGCAGGCAAAGCCCTTTGGGATCCTTGGATGAAAGATGCCACAGAAGCACAAAGTATTAATTTAACATTATTAAAATAATTGGTTAGTGGATAGTGAACAGAGGGTTAGTGTTAGCGATATTTATTCTTAATGCAAGATGAGCAGGAAATGGGATTCCTCATGGTTCAGTGGTAAGACCGGTTTCCTAGTATTTGTACTAATGGTTTAGACAGAGGCAGGACAATTGTGGTTGTTAAAGATGCAGCTGATAATGAAATAGCAGGTGTTATTAAGACATACAGAGAAGTGCCATGTCTACACCATAATCTTATGCAAATAAGTTCAGGGGTGGTACAGGCTGTTTTAGGTGTCTTAAATGTAATGTGATGCCACTGGGTGGGAGTTACATGCAAGCTAATTATAGCATGAATAGCATTGAATTAGATTATATGGCGGTGGAAAGTGATCTCGGCATATTGACAGAGCCAGTGTGTTAGAATTACTGATATTTTATTAAAGGGAAACAATTATTGGCAGTAGAAGGTGTATTTCAGCATAAGCAGTAATAGAGAGGGCATCAGCTGCACCAGATGAGAGTATAGCAGAGTCATAGTGATTGCTCAGGGCCCAAAATACATGCTGTTTCTCAGAAGAGAGCATAGAAATGATTAGGCAGGTTGTTTTTTATCAGCTGGCCTATTTCATTATCCCTCTCATAGTCCAGCTGCAGGGTGCTGGCAGCCGCCATCCAGGGGACCACCTTTTACAAGGGATAGTTGTATCTGGAGGCATTTGTTTACTAAAAAGTCCCATCTGCCTTTATTTACAACTTGCTGAACCTCATTTTTTGGGGCTCTGATGTCCCCTCGGGCTGGCTGCCTTCGGTGGCTGGGGGTTTTGCTGTGTTTTGGTCTGTATGTTGGCTGACACCATTCATTTCTGAGACTGATTCAAGAGGATGATACCTTGCTCTGCTGAGAAACCCAACGGAAGGTGGCTCCATCCCTTTAATCTTGATTTATGCAGGGGCTGGGATCAGTTACCTGGGATCAGTCACACTCCTAGCTCAAGGAGGGGGTCTGTGATGTTGCTCTGAGGACCTGAACCTTGCCAGTGACCCGGTTCAGGCTGGGCTCGGTTTGGGTCTGCTTGGCAGAACTCCTCCGTAGTCAGATTTGGGCAGCAGGCACATTTATTTTGTCTTAGTTTTAAATCGAGAAATTGAATTCAAAAAATCAGACAGGGAGAATGTATGCAAAGTCAAAAGTTAGCAAGTGGCAGAATTAAGGTCACCTATGGAAAAAAAAGAATAATAATATGTGATCCTGTAATTAAAGTCTAGCTCACAATGCATCAGTGCAGGGAGCAGATTGAAGAATGCAGAAGCTGCTTTCAACCTGGCAGTACCTAATTTCTGAGTGCCTGATACTGCAACCTTAACATTATACTTAAAGCAAAGCTTACTTTGGGTTGTTTTTTTAATTATTTTATTATTTGTATGACAATATGCCTTACGACCGATATCAGGGCTGTAAGGTATGTCAGACAAATACAGAGTGAGTCTTTGGTCCAAAGAGTTGTATCCTTTAAATCCATACGACCAGTAAGCAACAGGATAGGATGCCGACAAACATAATACAGCTCAGTGAGCTGGGGATATAAACCAGGTTCCTTAATGCTCATCATACTCCTGTGTGTTGTTCCTCCTGTACAAATGCCAGGTATGTTTGAGCATCAGAGAGCAGAAGCCATGCAAACTGTGCTGCTACACTAGAACTGAGTCTGGGTAGCTGCCCATTTAATTTTAGAAGATCCAGACGTTTCTGCTACGCTGCAGTTTGAGGAAATAAATGGGAGGTGGCTGGACTTTTTGAAGAATTCAGGCACTTGTTTTTTCATATCAAGCCCAAAAGGGTTTTCTTCCAAGCTATTCTCAAGGGAGGAATTTCCTCACCCTGCAGAGCTTTGTTGGTATTGCTGCACCTATTTGTTTTACGAAAGTGCTTGCAAAAATCTCAGGTCAGCATTTTGCCTTGGCTTTCATTCTGTGATAGAAGACCTACAGTTCTGAGAGCAGTTAATAGGCTATCCTTCTAGCCCTCTGGAGACTGTACATTTAAAATTCCTGATCCAATATGTGGCAGCGCTAAAGGAGACTAATGGGATGAGGACTCCCAGAGAGTGGAGAGAGGGAGTTGCAATGATGCTCTCGAGCTCTCAGATCTGCAAAGCAAACTAGAGGTCTGCTGCGAATGGCTGAGATTGCCCTTTTGATTCCTGGAAATAGAAAATTTTCCTGTTCCAGGAAGATGGAGCAGTTTGAGTTTGAAATTGGGACCTTAATTTCATCTGGTTCAGTCACTAAAGAGAAGGCAAGCCCTAAAGTCTTAGACCAGACCCCAGACTCTGTAACATTGAGGCTCAGCAGTGTATCACTTTTTCTTTGGACTCAAACGAAGGTCCAAAGAAATTTATTGCCTTAGGTCGCCATTTGCAAATCCCCATGCATAGGGGCACAAGCTCTGCTCCAGGGAGCAAGGACTCTGAGGGGTGATCCTGGAGCTAATCCCCCCAACGGCCCCTGCACACTCTCAGAACCAAAGAATTCAAAGTCTGGGAGTGGCTGAATAATTTAACATCTGCACTTAGGCTTTATAGCTGATTTTAATGGGGGGTAATAGCACTGCTAATAACAAAATCCATTGAAGACACCCTGTGCAAGTCCATAACATTAGCTTAATGGCAAAAGGTAATTGGCATGCAGTTGGAGCTGTCCTTTTGTATTAACCCATGGATTCCTAGGCAGACATCTTCCTTGAAGCTGTGGCCTCAGCAGTGCACGTGGAGTAAAATATATATATTTCTTTTATGCTAAGTAAATGCAAATCTGGATTAAAACAGGGCACACCATTACCAGTTCACATTGCTGTTCTGCCTTTACACCCTGCAGAGAAGACCAGAGACAGTGAAAGCTGCTGAAAGCACTGATAACAATTAATGATTGTTTTAATCTTTGAAGGCTTGTTCTACTCACGTGCCATATATCTACCACTTCCACTGGAGCATCTCCAGAGCTGTGCATCCTACCCAAGGGTTGAGGCTTTCAGTCCGTACCCCTCGTCTTTCACGGTGTGCTTGCCACCATTAAGCCTCCTGTAATAGCCCGCGGCCCGTCAGCACTGGAGTCAGAGAGCTCCGGGGTGTGACTGTGAAAGCTTCCAAGTCAATGCCGTGCCAAAGGGTGCAGTGTTGACTTCCCACCCTCAATGATTGCTCCTTCCATGTCCCAGGGCCACCTTCACCCTCCCAGCCAGGCTTCGTGTTAACCCTGCCCCTCTCTGTTCCCATTTGCTCAGGTGCACGAGGAAGGAGCGGTGTGAGCGCTCCAGCGAGCCTCGGAGATTTGCCTCGGAGATGAAGCAGTGTGTCCGGCTTACCGTGCATCCCAACAACATCTCTGTCTCCCAGTACAACGTACTGGTAAGGAATGTTAATCCCCACCGCTATCCCTTCCCACCCCACAGGTTTAGTCTGCCCATGCAGTCAGTCTGATGGCCCCA